GAACTCTTATCAGCGTCCTCATTTGTTCCGGGACCCATAATAATATCTGATGCACGCGTGAAAAATTCTCGTGTTCGATCCTGTTCCTTTTCCTCACGCCTTCGTTTACGCAATGTCTTGTCTACAGGGGGATTCTCTAAAAAATTCCGACATGGTAAAAGCCCAATTATACATATTTATATTTTTACCAATATTAATATGCTCATCTTCGCTGGATGAATCTGACTCGAAAAACTGATCAAACTCTTTGTTCATATCGGCTAAATCAGCATTTGAAAACGATAAAAGTGGATTGATTGTGTCTATGAATTTTTCAGGCGCTTTAGCTTGCTGTTGTTGCGCGCTACTCGACGGCGATATTTCTGACTTGTCGCTGTAGTTAACGACATGTTCAGGACTATGGCAATGTGCTGGTGGTTTTCGTTGTCTGCTTTTTGTTTTACGATCCAGGGGAAAGAGCCGCTCATCTACATGCTCCCAGCGCTCAGCACATGTCCACAACCAGTTTGCATTGACGACCTTAATATTCGGATTCTTTTTGGCAGCATTTACCTTGAACGTACCAGAATTTACAGCAACAAGATGTGTCGTTTCTAAATTCAAAGTAATACCTTTACTTACTATGCATACATTTTGTGTTAATGAATTTTAAAGATTACCTGGTCCAATACTTTGTGACACATTTGCCCCCAAACTTTTTGCAATGAAGTAAGCACGGGACTGCTCTAGTTGCATATTAGTAGGTACTAGACCCGAAAAAATTAAAGTCTTCCCGCGAAGTACTTCAGAACGAATTTTGGGAACAATAATCTTCAAGTCAGGTATCTCCTGCGTTTCGTCATAAATAGCATAAAATCGCATATGAATGTTTTTAAGAATTTCCTCCAAATACATAAGATAATCGTCTGGATCTTCGATTTCAATTTGCTGATGGGGGTCAGCAGGAAGTTTTATTTTGGGTGTTGTCTCGGCTTCAGTTTCCATTGATGTCAGTTTATTACCAAGTTTGTCTTCATAATTTTCGTCAGATATAGAAACAGTTGCCTTGTTGGCATCAGGGATGTCAATAACATTATCTTTCGCCAATACATCTAACTCTACATCAACTGGTTCAACGTTCGATGTCTCAATGACTTCTGTATTAGTTTTAATGTCGTTTTTAACGACATCAACAATGATATCATCCTTTTTACTTTCTGTATCAGTCTCCGAACGCTCAGATATGCCATCGGAGGACTCTGATTCGGCAACCTTTTCCTTACTCTCTACATCTATTGCATCCATCTTGCTCGTATCGGTTGTAAGGTTTTTTAAATCTAATAAAAATCATAATACATTATGAATGGATATGTATATATGTATGTGTGTGTATGTATTTTTATGCAGGTGAATTATCGATGCATACCTTTGAAGTCAAGACCTTCTCCATCTAATTCATGCTTTGATAAACCAGGTGGCGCATTTATGTCGCCTGTATGTTGAAAAAAATGATAAGGCTTGACTTGAATCAAATTGGATGCCATGTTCCATACATCTTCGCGATCGTCGATTATGCAAACCATAGAATCTCCATTAGGAAAGAGAGCTCTAGAATTAAAAGGAACATGCTTTAAATATATTCATAGATCATTATTTAACAATACAAAACTTACTTCAAATTATCAGTTTTACTTGTTGCATTAAAGCATTCATCGCGAGATAGAATACGATGTGAAAAATACTTTCCCTCAGGATCAAGTAATTGTGCAATCATGTGTGCGTAGTTTCGTGCTCCAAAAGTGCAGATATGTAGTTCATAAAATTTTGACATACGATCAAGGAAAACCGGTGTGCCTGGACGCAGACGTGTGTGATACCACGGTGAGTGTGGACCATAAAGTTGAAAGTGGTAAATGCCTTTAATATTATTCGGTACGTTATCATTTGTTGTGTGTATAACCGTTTGATCTAAGTCGACTAGGAGTACGAGCTTGCGATCTTCAAGCAAACGACGCGTGTCATCGTGGCCTAGTTTTTGTGCAAGTTTTTGTGTTACTTTAAGATCGGGGATGGAGTGCACCATTGGTACAGATGCCTCGGATGTATTTCCCTGCATCGGAACAGAAATGAAAATAGCATTACTAATAGGATACAAATATCTTTACTAAATTTTCGTAAGTGCTGAGCATATGAAAGCAATACATTTTCTGTACGAGTATGTAATATGCAACCAGCTAATAAATTTTAAGATACTGCGAATTACACATTCATAACTCCTTCGTTCCTTCAGTAATTGCATAATCAAAAAATGGAAAAATTATACCCTAAGATACATACATTTAAGAAAGCATAAACTCAAACTGTATATACGCATATACATACATTTTCCTTTATATAACATACATAAATTCAACCCTTAAGTTACTTTTCCTAACGCGAACTGCTATGGCAATCCTGTTTACTTATCATTCAGCGCGGCACCACAAAACACCCGCGCATAAAACTTTGTTTTGTTTATCAGCCGCCTATTTCTTTTGATTTCTACTTTCTTCGTTACATTCTCGTACTTCAAAGTAATCCATCTTAAACGCAAAATCTTTTCCATACTTCGATCTCAAACCCCCCAATCGATTCATACAGAAATTACTCGTATACTCACATTTTCGTTTTGGCGCAAATCCGCACCGCAATCAGCACACATATCTTTTATCACTGTAGTGTGGGCACACTCGGCCAGCTCCAAAATCGTCGCTCTGCAGAAGAAATGCAAAATAAAGAAGCATTTTAAAGTAAAACCGTGTGTCTAAACCTTGCAGTTTTAATGATTAAATTTGAGACAGTAAAATGTACATATCGAGTGTCGAACGCACTCGGTTCATGGCTTGAAATAAGGTTTGTATTTGGAAAAGGTTTATTACTAGAGCACGACTAAATACACATTGCATTGCTCATACTTACCCCTGCGGTACCAACTGTCCCTCCTTGTACAAACGCTTTTTTACCACGCCTACACGATTCGCTTTTAATTTGAGCAAAGTTTTATCAACTGAAACTACCGACGTAGCTAAAGTTTTTGTAGACGACGCTTCCGAGCTATTGTCGCTACTTGTGATTTCGTATAATAAAATCACTTGGGAAGAAGTTATGGGGAAACCTTCACGAACGCGCCATTTATTGATTCGAATAGGGTGCTCCGCTGGTGCGGTTATTGTAATGCTGCCGGCACTGCCGCTGCCACTTTCGCCACTTGATTCATTGTTACCGTCCGCCATTGCACTAATTTCCTTTCCTACTGAGATTATTTTCACTTTAATTTTTCACAACACACCGCCAATTTGCTTTTTCTCACAAATTTCTGTGATTCTTGGCGTTTTTTTCACTTTCGTTTTTCGCGTCTGCTACTATCCCTTTCCACTATTTTAATCTTTATTAGCGTCCTGCCCGCTTTCTCAAATTCGTTGTTTTGATTTCTTGCCCATTTTGTTTTCTCCTGCTGTGATGCATTTTTACGGTGTGTTCAGTGGGTTATAAAATTTGTACACAGGAATGGGTGTATGATTGCGATCATTCTTCAGAAATCTACGATCAATCCGATTATATTATTATCATCATGATTATTCATGAACCAGTTGGAACAGATCTGACCGGTTGAGAAGGAGCTATTTGCAATGGCATTTGAGAAATGCTATTTGCAATGGCATTTGAGAAAGGCAAATGTAGTTGAAATGATGTGCGTGGTAATTGGTTGCAAGAACACGAACAAAAATTATTATTTTTATGATTAACACAAACATGTGCTCAACATTTTCTTAATTGTTTTCTTTATCCTTCGTCTTCATATTCTTTTTTATTTTTTTTTTCATCACTTTTGGTTCATTTCAAAGAAAATAAAATGGCGCCGAAATTACAAATATCAGCCAGAAAATTATTTATTTCTTTTGCTTCATCTTGTCAGATCTTGTGTAGTTCGATCATGATTATTGGGTAGTTCATATTATTACTTTCCCATGGCACCGTGAATTTTAATTCGTTTTGACAGTTCTCTGTCTGTGTGTTTGGTCTTTTTTCTTCGCTACAAAATTAGTGCTAAAAATATTTAAATTTCTGTATGGAATTGGTGATGTAACTGTAGTACTTAAACAAAGTGCCAGTTTTGATTTGTGAACTGGTTTCGATAAATAATTTAAATGATAATTGGGCATTGACAAATTACACTTTTTGAATTTTATTAATCCTCATTAGATACCCAAATATTCGTAAGAAATGTAACAAAAATAATCACTAAAAAATCGCGTTCAGCAATCAACCCGTTTACATGGCAAAGTCTGTCAAATTTGGTGTGCTTATTTCTCCACAAGTCAAAATGTAGGTCAGTTTCTTCCTCTTCGCAAAAATAATCGATAAAACCAGGTTGACACCGAAATTTGATCGGTTTAATCTGAGATTATTTCAAAATTATAATTTACCTAGGGACGAATTTTGTATGGCTAATTTGTTTTTTAATCACAGATTAGGGAGTTAAGCTCGAAAACAAGGATAATCCTTGTAAATGTAACATCTTTTAACAATTCCTAATACCTTTTTCCCACGCCATCTTGTATTACTTTGTTCGTTCCCCAATTACGATCGCGAACAACACCATTCCCACGAGCACAATCTTAATTCGATTTGACACTTCTTTGGCTCTGTGTTTTGTTTTTGTTTTTTTTTTTTGCTGCAAAATTGATGCAAAATGTAGGCTCCTCAAAAAATTTTTGTATGGCGAATTACGTAATTCGAAGGGTAATTGGAGTGCGAATTACGAATTGAGAGCGAACTTCCTAATTGGGGTGCGTGGGACAGCCGTATAAATGCATCCTATGAACGAATGATTCATAAATGCACCCTAATTCTTTAGTGAAAAAATTAAGTTATGTCGACATGGGTATATTCCACACAGCTGTTTGGGTTTGCTTTTTTGTGTTTTGATTACGATATATATGAATTGTGCGAATATATACACATTTTGTCTAATTTAAACATATAAATAAAAAAAACCTTTCTATAAACATGGAGGAAACAGGTGCGAAGAAACGAAGTAATTCAGAAGAAGTTGGAGATCAAGTCCAAAAGGATGCTATAGAAGCTGATGACGATGATGATGGCTGGATTGGTCCTATGCCAGGAGAACAGTCGGCCGCATCAAAGCCGAAAAAGCGGAAGGTATTACCTTACGAAAAAGTGTATTTAGAAAACCTCCCGAATGCTGAAAGCTATGAAAAAAGCTACATGCATCGCGATATAATAACACATGTGGTGAGCACCAAGACAGAATTCATTGCGACAGCAAGCTTCGATGGACATATCAAATTTTGGAAAAAAATGGAGGAAGGCATTGAATTTGTAAAGCATTTTCGAAGTCATTTAAGTTCGTATCAACATGACTGAGTTGGTTTTAAACTAAACTTTATTATACATACATAATGTTGTGGTTCTTTCTAGTGCCGATCAACTCTTTAACCACCAACACGAGTGGTACACTCCTCTGTTCAGCCTCTGCAGACAAATGTGCTAAAATATTTGACGTTGTCAACTTTGATATGATAAACATTATCAAACTGGGCTTTACACCATTATGTACAGAGTGGATACATTCTCCCGGTGATGCCGTGCATAGTATAGCAGTGTATGTAAAAACATTTCGTATTGTTGCTATCTTACTTCTATCATTCACATTCATACATTTTCAGCGCTGACAAAGATAGTAGCAAAATTTGTATTTATGATGGGCAAGGCAATGGCAACGTACTGCACATCCTAGATAAACTGCATTCCGCGCCAGTAGTAGCAATGTGTTACAATTTGTCTTTTGAAACAGTTATTTCAGTAGATAAAAATGGAATACTTGAGTACTGGCAAAACTCTAAGCACGACTTCAAATTCCCACAAAAAATCGTAACGTTCGAATCTAAGTTGGACACAGGTTAGCATATACATATCGTCGCTTAAAGTACAAAACCGCGTATCAACAAAATGCAAAACCGCGTATCAGGATAATGGAAGACCGCGTATGTGAGGTTGCATAAATTATTTTCTAGAGACTAAAAACACTCATATTTCAAAAAGGTTCTCTTTTTTATAAAGCAATCGCATTTCTGACTAGTATATTTCAGGGCGAATGGGTAATGATTGAGCCAAGAGCTTGTGTGGGCAAGTCCAATATTTGGCAGCAAATGTCAATTACGCGGTTTTGTACCTTAAACAATGATATGTGTGACATACTATGTTTTTTATTAGGAAACAAACACTACTTATTGAACATATAGTTACGAGTGACCAGTTTTTATTCATTTACTTATATCTAACGAAAAGCATATGAGTCTAAATTTCAAACTTTTTACAAAAATTAGATAAATTGATCAAAGCTTTTGAATAGAAAACTTGTTATTAAGTATCTTTAGAGAAATTCTAGGTTGCAGTTTTATAGCCCACGCATTTTCTTCCATACAAATTATGTTCGAGAATTTTTTTGTATTGAATAATATAATAAATAACACTATCCGCAAAAAATCAAATGCGAATTCCTAGATACTTGAAACTTGCACTTTATTTATTTATTTTTTACAGTCTGTTAGACTTATAACAAAGATTTATCAATCTTAGAATTAGATTAAGATTTAAAATTAAATATTAATATATGGTATGGTCTACGGAAATTTTTAACAATTATTTTATATTAATATACAAGCATGTCATTTCATTGGCAGGAGGTTAGCTAGATGGTTGGAAATGCCGAGCTTCCAACCCGCGCAATACTTTTTTGGGTTGCTCCGTATCTGGATATCTACTGGGTGGTAGAAAAGGCCGAGTTTCCGATCCGCCCAGTCGAGCTTTCGTGGCGGTTGGAAAGGCCCACTTTCCAATCTGCTCATTTATTAAGCAATAAACAGAATTTTTCTAAAGGTTTTTAATAAAAAGTTTGTTGTAAAATTTTGCCGAATATTTCCACAATTAAAACTGGTTAAAATAATTTAATACCTATTACTTCTCACGTGACTGTATATATCAATATGAATATTTCGCTTAGGTCTCTTCGAATTTGTGAAAAATAAAGCGCTTGTCACTGGTCTTGCCGCATCGCCGGATGGTCGCAGGTTCGCAACTATTTCAAATGACCGGAAAGTCAGAGTCTTCCAGTTTATCACAGGAAAGTTGATACGCGTTTTTGATGAAGCTCTGACAACATACACACAAATGCAGCAGACCCCACATGCTTTGCCAAACATGGAATTCGGGCGCAGGTAAGGCAATAAGATTGATGCTGTAGCAGCACGTTGTCTCCAAAAGTTTTGATAAGATTTATTATATTATTGTTGCAATATCTACTTAATTTGCAGTGATTAACCCCAGGCGGGTTACCTGTGTAATTATCAACCTAATTTTGTAATTTTTTTTTTTCTAAAAGTTGGTCATCTTTTGATTTGAAGCCCCACAAAAAAGGATAAGATTAATTTTAGTTTAAAACTGCAATAGAATTCTGACAATCGCTACGCTTAATTTTCGTCGCCGAAATTCTATAAATAAAAAGTATACAACATGCAAATGTAAGAGATGCAATGTGTACTCAGCAAAATCTGGCAATATGAGTGTGTAACTAGATGTTACGTGTTGTTAGGCGCGCCGGCTATTCTTTTGGAGATTTTTTGCGATCAAAATTAGCTATAGCGAATATTGGAATCCGGCTGCTGAATAAAAAACTTAGAGGTAGCCAAACTAAAAAGCAAAAAATAATTATTAATCAATACACTGTCCATGAGCTATAGACAATACACAAAATAAATCTAATTAAATTTTGAATAAACCAATTAGAAAAAAAAATATTTTATAGCGAAAGAGCATGGGATGCCTTTTTCTGTACTATTTTATTTAACACCAATTCTATAATGTCAACACTTCTGTTACATCCTTTCTCTCACCCTTTCTACTGACATCCTTGGTACAGCTGTACAACTAGGTCTTTGAATTGTATTTTAAACTGAAATCATAGTCCATTTTTGCGTTTTTCCCACAAATGAAATTTTTAAATACTTCGTTATCCCTGCAAACCATTTTTTCAGAGTATTCTGAATTGTAGAGAAATTTTAAGGAATTCGTAAAGATCTCGTCCGATTTTTGCCGAATTTTCTAAAATGAAATAAACTGTGCACATTCGATTCTTTTACGAACTTTCGGAAGAAAATCGGTAAAGAAATGAAAACAATGCTGCCATGTGAAGTATTTCTTGCAGAAGTTTTTCAGAATTTTCTTTATTTTTCGTACAGAAATTTCTTTACGAGTTCGTGTCGTAAAGAAATCGTTACAGAAATGAGATACTCCTAAATATTTCGTTAAGATTTCGGGAACTTTGGTTGCAGGGATATTATTAAAAGTGTGATGTGTGCAATTTTTTAACTTAATCAAACATTGTAAAACGTTGATGAAAATATATTTGAGAGCTTCCATTGCATAGATACTTACCTATGTACATACATATAGCCCTTAGATGACGAATGACGATTACATCTCTATAACTGTTAGTATTCTTATAAAACTTTAATAATGAAATCTAATCAAATTAGAATGGCTGTGGAACGTGATTTGGATAAGTCTGAATACAATACAAGCAACAATATACTATTCGATGCCAGCGGACATTTCATGATGTATCCAACCATGTTAGGTATTAAAGTTATTAACGTTGAGACCAATAGATGTGTGTCAATACTGGGCAAAACTGATAATATACGCCCACTGCATATAGCCTTATTCCAGGTAATTTAAAATCAGAATTTTTACTTTTGATCGCACAATACATACTATGAATGTACATATTTACAACTACTTCTAGGGTAAAGCAAAAAAATCTAAGGCAGCTATTACACTAGAACAAGAAGCTAGCGACAATCCTACACTGCAATCCTTAGCTAATGATCCCACGGTGTTTTGTGCCGCTTACAAGTATATGTGCTGTTAAACATTTCGTATTCAAAAAAATGTTTTGATAATACCTTTCCATACTCTAGAAAACCACGTTTTTATCTATATAGTCGACGGTTACCATCTGATTTACAAGATGTGGATAGAGACGTATTCAATGAAAAACCTTCAAAGGAAGATATAATCGCTGTTCCAGAAGGCCAAGGTAAACTGTTGATATTTACAAATATGCTTGAGAGTTTAGATAGAACCTATGCACGTATTTCTTGAAAACAAATCTTAAGTCACATGTTTTAAAAATTTCATGCTACAATACTGATGTGTTTTGAACAGATGAAGGTTAACTTGCATTATTTTTCTATAATTAATTAAGTACGAAAGTAATAGTTTTTTTTTAATTTAAATAGGAACACAACGTGTCTATGAAAATGCTGTTTTACATACGACAATGGGCGATATACACATGAAACTTTTCTTCAAGGAATGTCCAAAGACAGTAGAGAACTTCTGTGTTCATTCTAAAAATGGGTACATAAATACTAGAGCTGGAAGCTCTATCAGAATTTTTAGAATATCTAGATAATCCGAACATTCGAATATCTGAAAAGTATTCTAATATCCGGATATCCGAATGGTCTATTGATATTCGGATATCCGAAAGGAGTAAAGATATCCAGATATTCGATTCTAAAAATTAAATAAGCATTGTTTGTGTAATCCATTATTTATTTTGCAACTCGATGGACTCAGTAATTTTGATAACAATTTTACGAATGCGTTCAAATACTCAGGGCTCGAATCGTAACATCCGTTCACGGATCGAAAACGATACGAAAGAAAATTACGTGATACGTCAAGCAGTATAAGCTGAATGGTACAAAAAGTACGTTCACGTATGTCTTAATCCGAAAAATGTGTTTTTACGTGACGAGTAGTACGATGTCGTATGTGACGATTCGAGCCCAGGGCTATCGTTGAATCCATCGTACTCCGATTTTTCGTGAAATCTACGAAAATGCTATCACTGAATCCGAATAGCTACGAACGCAGCATATACGTTGAATGCATCTGTTCGTAGCAATTCGGATTCGGTGATCGCCTTTTCGAAGATTTTACGAAAGTCGGACTACGATGTATTCAGCGGTAGTCCATTCTATTTAGAATATCGAATATCCGGATTTTATCCGTATACACGATTATTCGAATATGCGGATAGCCTAAGCAATAATAAATACATATATACACTTAACAAATCTATTTTTCAGTTATTATAATGGTCACATTTTCCATCGAGTCATAAAAGGTTTTATGATACAAACTGGGGACCCTACTGGTACTGGCACTGGTGGTAAATCGATTTGGGGACATGACTTCAAAGACGAGTTTGTATCTAGTCTAAAACATGATCGTCCTTATACCGTAAGTATGGCCAACGCTGGACCCAACACGAATGGCAGTCAATTTTTCATAACTGTCCTACCGACGGTAAGTTCTTTAATAAAATATGCACATGCATATGTACATTAAGCCGTATCACGGCACATGAAAGAGAAAAAGTTTAGCGTGTATAAGTTTTATTTAAACACTTATGCCGAAAAAAGATTCTGGGTGTAAACATTATTTTAAGGCGCCCGCTAAAAACCTCTTAATCGCGCTTTTGCTATCATTTTCTTATTTGATTTCCGATTTGCAAATTCTTCCGCCGAAAAGGCCTTGCTCAGGACTATAATCAGCCATTAATCAATTTCGGTTTTAAAAACCGGTTTGATTTATACCTTTAATAATTAAAAATAAAAATCTGGGGATAGTATTTCCAAAATGAGTGAAGGTTTAAATCAAAACGAATTTTTAAACCAAGACCTTTTCGCCGATATAAACATCGGATATCAAATAAGAAAGTTATAACAAAAAAAAAAAGAATTTAACGCTTTTTAGCGAGTGTCTAAAAAAAAATTTACACCCAAAATTTTTTCTCGAGTATTCAAATATAACTGACACACGTTAAACCTTTTTCGTGAAACGCCTTAATGTACATATCCCTAGCTTAGAGTGAAATTTTGCCAAGTCCAGTTTTTTTTTAATTTTACAAGAGATAATAAAAACCTTTCAAATTCATTTATTGATAACCTTATCCTTTTTCTGAAGTCGGTTAAAAAATGAATGTTTGTTAAACATTTAGGAATAAATGTATTTTTAATTGTTCTTAGTTCTTTCATCAAAACATATATTTTTTTAAAGGGACTTAGCAACTCTTCATTATAAATTAGCGATATGTATTTGAATTCGATTGGATAATTTATTTGATAATTTTCTTCTGCTTTTAGCCATGGTTAGATAACAAGCATACAGTTTTTGGGCGCGTATTTCGCGGCATGGAAGTGGTACAAAACATTTGCAACGCAAAAGCAAATCCTAAAACTGACAAACCATATGATGACATTAAAATTATATCGATACGACTAAGTAATTAAGAAATACAAAAAAAATGTGTATGTCCTACGAGGGCGGAGAAACCCTTTCTAACTCCTTAACAATCAAACAGGGAGCACACACAGAAATATCATCCAACAAACCTCCCAACGAGTAATAAGAGAATAAGTACTCCCATAAATCCTAAATTTTGTTTTTTTTTCGGTTTTAGCAATTTTAAAATATCTTCCAAAAGAACGCCAAAAGAGGTCAGTCGCATGAACAATCGATTTTGTTCAGCTAATCTATTTTAATCTTCAGTCATTAAGTACATTAAAACACACATAATAATAAATAAATATGTAGTTGGCGTAGTGCATACCGATAGATCTTGTTCAAATATTCGCGGCATGCCTGTTTCCTTTTAAAACTTATTTTCCGTAAGATTTTTGTTTCATACTGTTCTTCTCTTATGATAACTTATTCCAAAGGCAGACAACTTCCTTTAAATTACAGTACTTTTGGCTCTAAAATCATTTAAAAAGAACACTCCTTGATTACTCTGAGTCATCGCTTTTTGCTCTTAAGCGATTAATACAGGAGTACAAAACCAAAAAGTCTCTCTTATTGCTCCGAAACCAAGCCAAAGGGATTTCTCATTTAGGGAGATCGCCCTTAAAGCTTGGTGGTGTTCTAAATATATATATATAATAAAATTTAAGGTTTCAGCTGCTAAAACAATATTTTTGTTAATCCACAATTTACTTACCATCTAAAATCCAATCGAAATAAAAACGGAATAATGATTAGTGCTACTCGTATAGAACATTATTTTAGTGTAATATTATGTATAAACTTAGATGCGCACTCTTTTTTTATAAGTACACATGCATAAATACTTACTATTTACAATATACTTATGCTATTCATAACAGTTTTGTGTCTTCAAAGGATAAATAAAACAATATGGTTTGTTAACATTACTGTGAGTATAATATCGTAATAGCTGCGTTAATACAAAATTTATAGTAGCGCCTAATTAAGGGACACGATCCCAGAGAATATAATTTATAATGTCAAACGAAGTGATGTTTTTATTTATAAATTTGTTTAATATATCACATTTATTCTTATCAAACACAATATTGAAACGTACTTTTGGTCGCTAATTATATGCATCTTCAATATGCACATACATACATATGTACATAAAATTTAAACTGATATCTTAAAAAATCGGAGCAAATAAAAAATAAAATAAGAGAAAAACCACGATTGAGCCTTAAATTTTATGATATCCCGTACGTATGTACTGATGTATGATACATATTATAAAATTGTAGGCCGACAAGGACTATGTATTACTTTAGAGTTGTCTTAACAAGCTTTTTGAATGCAACTAAATGAAATCTGGACTGTTTGAAAATACTCAGTAATATATGTATAATTAAAGCTTTTGCTGTAGCAAAATCACTTCAAAAGCTTGCCTATTTTTGTGGACCCGTTTTCATTGAGGTTATCGAACGATCGGCGTAGCGATCTCGTTGAAGAAGTCTTTTGGCTTTTCAAAATCAAGAAGAAGAAAAAATTACTAAAACTTTATTTTAATAATCATTCGGTATTAACAACATTACCTGTGAGTTAATTTCTGGAATCTATGTATGTATTTATAGATATTTTTTATCTATATACAAACATACTTGCATTTGTGGAGGTCGTACTGTAAAAACTAATCTTTTCTCACTTACTTTCAAACTTATCTCATTTGCTGATGTCAAATTGTAAAATCAAAGCGAACTAAATGCAGTAAATTCCTTAATTGTGATCCTCAATCCGAATGTAAATATTATTAGTTTCGTATATTTTTTAACAAGGCTTTAAAAAATGTTTATGATCGATTTTTATTCGTATCTATCTAGAACCCGATATTTAACAAAATTTCTCCTTCAAGCATCTACGCTATTGACGCTACATTGTGAGCTAATATCAAAATCGGACACACTATCTGAACCATAGCCTGTAATACCGCCGCCATTAGTCGCGCCGTGATTGTGCGTCGCTGCTGAAGCAACAGCTGCGCGCGGTCGTAAGACTTCAGGCACGTACACTGGCGCTGGGCCAGCCATTTCTACAACACTGGGACGGGGTACTGACGCACAACGTTTTATAGGCGACATGAACGTAAACAATGTCAATGTTAGCACGAGCGTAATAAGAAGTATAATGGAACGTGCATTGCCTCTTTCCCGTAGAACTGAGATCATTGCCATTACCAAGAGCAGAATTATAATTGCAGATTTGGTCATTGTGACTGCAGTCGAATGAATTTTTCCTCCATTCCTTGATATCATATTTGAAGGGCCATAAGCAAAATACAGGTTATGACGGTCCACAAAATGTTTAAAACAGATATATATCATTGCGAACGGCATTATTAGTGGACAAGAAACACTGTAAACCGTAGAAATAGTGAATACCAATACTGTCCAAGCATAGTGAATACCAAACGGAAATTCGATCAATATCGATTTGCGTATGTATGGCGTTTCAGCTTTCGATTTGGCCGTACACAACATCCAAATATAAACGATGAGCTCCGGAAATCGTAACAATTCCAGTGCCGTACCAATAAAAGCAGCCGTAATAACATAGTTAACATAGAATGAACTGCGGTCCGGCATAAAAACGCAATGCCAGCGTATGGTATCGTTGCTAATTGACCATTCGATTAACTTTTGTGCTGATGTTAGTCCCAATGAAGGCAAAATTAGAATCATCAATAATAAATAGCAAAAACACTTAATCATAATCGAATAATTTTGTAAAGAACGTGTATAATGTGCCAACCATTTATCGGAGAAGGCGACAATCACTGGCATCAGTGCTGCAAGTGTCCACAACAACAGTGTTGGCAAAAACTCTGACACTAGTGGCGATATCGTGTATATATTGCCTTTAGCCAAGGCATAAGTATTTAGAAAGTTCAGCACGATTGCCGGTGTAGTGAGGAAGAAAAGGGCTAGAAATAGAATGAAGTTTACGGCTCCCCATTTGAGATACCAATTACTTTTGCTGACATTCAAATGCTCCCAAAACAGGTCATCTGGTGAAGGCGCGAATTCCAAATTCCACTTTCTATAAGTACCAGGTGTAAAGTGACTAACAATGTTTTGGGCCTCGTGTACAGTAGAAACAGTGATAAAGGCAATGCCAAGTGGTTCATTAAGTGCAGCAGCTCGCAAACGTGCGACGTCTCCAGCTAGTTTTTGCTCTTCGCGTTGATAGTAGGCGTATGCATTTTCTTTAGCGCAGGAGCATAAATTCGGTTGAACCTGGAAAACACAAAAAAAAAACAAATTATAAACTGTAAAACGAAGAAGAAAAATGGCTAAAGTCGTATGCTGACTCTCCTATACTGTCGCACTCACTTTATAACAGAATCGACAATTAGTTTTTAATTCGATAAATTTTTATAAAATGTTGTCTGCCGAAATAGGGCGATTTTCCACTCATCCGTTGATATATTTTAGGATAAATTTGGGTATGCATTTTTGTAGTTTATTGAATTTCGGTAAATAAAGTGCAATTTTTAAGTAGGTAAGGCTTTGCAAATTTTCACCAAAATTTCAAACTTTTTAATCAGAATCTGTAGAAAAATTTTTGGTATGCAGTTTTGTAGCCCATGTGATTCTAGTATAATGAAGTGCAAGTTTCAAGATGCTAAAAAATCCCGTTGGTTTTTGGCAATTTTTGTTTTGCTGCAGCGTCCTCCACATAAAAGAAAATTGTCGAACGTACTTTGTATGGAAAAAACGTGAAACACCTTCAACCAGAAAAATTCTCAAACCAACCAACTTGAACTTGCACTTTATTATACTAGAATTAAATGGGCTACAAAACTGCATATCAAGATTTTGAATAAAAACTTTGAAATTTTGGTGAAAATTTGTACTTTTATAAAAAAATAATTAACATTAAATAAACAAAAGACAAATAGCCGAAACTGGTCAAAATATCGCACTCCTATTATTTTGTGGACAAATGTATGCATGTACATCTTTATAAAAACTAATGTTATTCATTTGCGATTCTTTTCAAAACACTGGTTTTTAATGTAAATGTAATGTGAATTCTATTAGTTTCTTAGTGGATAATCGACCGATCTTTGTACAAAGCTGAAATTTATTTAATTATTTTTTGTTACGAAATAAAAAATATATATCGATCGAATATGTGCGAAATAAAGTATTTACCTGTAGTGTATCACGGTCACGATGATGTTCGCAAAACATTCGTGCATCTAATATCTTTTCATATTCGGCATTTCGTGTTGCTAATTTGGATATGTTGTATGCAATTTGCACATCCTCGATATTCACATCCGGAAACAATTCTTGTATATAGTGACGAATAACAGTTTTATTACGATCGCTTGCGGAGATGTTGGATATCATAATAGTACGCGTGGATGCTGTTTTGAAGGCGTTACGACCGGAAGAGCGTCGCATAACCAGCACAATCAGCGGCGCATATATAATCGTGACGATAACGTGTACCCATTGCCAGGGCGATTCGTAAGGCACGTTCTCTATTGTTGTATGTCCAAACGCATTGAGATCGGATCTACCTTCAGTAGGTCCACTGAATAAATTTACCGGTAATATGATAATCAACGAAACCAAGGTAACTATAGCCATTACTGCCATAAGATGTTGTTGAAATGAAAGATAATGAACGGCATCTGGTCCGGTATGCAACAGTATTTGCTCCTTGCGTAGTTTCCATGTTATTCTAATCCAAGCGAAAATTCCTTGGTCGGAATGAATGGGCGACAACGGGGGCTCAGAAGCATTCGATGTAAGACTACCACGACCTTCCTCGGCACCATTTTGCATACGACTGGTGGTTGCTTGCGGCTGGGGCGTATCAACCATACTTGCACGCGAATAGAACACTTCAGTCCAACGTTTTTTACTGCCATTGCTATTTACAAGCGCCAACCGGCCATAGTCACCGGCCTGATGTCGCAATACGGTAAATAATCCAATCAATAACAGCCATGATATAACGTTCAATACTAATGTTTCCGGAATACCATTGAAGTCCGTGGTAAAAATAGTTGTTTTATTTGGCAATTTATCACACTCATCAGTCCAACCACGTTCAGCAAACATGTCTTGAAATACATCCATATTATTCCAAACTAAAACTAAATGGATGGAACCGTCGTACGTGTGTTCTCACTCCAATTCTGGATTCAACTTTGTCTTTTACCTGTCAAGAACAAAGTAGGTCAATTAGTCTAAGTAGATTCCTAAATTTGTATCACAGTTATTATAGCTCTATTAATTCGCTATTTCTTTTCAATAAAACTTACTCTAAAACAAATTTTACTTTCTCATAGTGATTATGCACATACATACATGCATGCATATGCATTTGAAATGAAATATCGCAAATTTACTAAAATGCTGTGGTTTTTGTTAGATAATTCCTTTTAAAAAATTGTCAAAAACCGGTCAAAATATCGTATTCCTATTATTTTGGAGGATGGTTCCGTATGCAGAAGTCCACGAAAGTGGGGAAAAGCTTCTGCCTGCCATTCACCTGGTAGTGGCCAGAAGTTATTCTTTTGCGTACGGTTCAAATCACAGCTCACGACGTGCAGATATTTATATCTACGTAACCTCTGGTTTGGGTCCCGCCACGTTAAAACCCCGCTCAATGAAATAGAAAACAGACTCGGATAAGACCCCGTTATTTTAATGACGACCACGGCAAACGTGTAAATGACTATGATTTGACGTCATGCGGACCATTAGTATCCAAAAATTTATAATATTCTAATCTTATGCTAAGTGGTTATTGCAATCATCGATTTTAAGTGAATTGGCTCCAGTAGTTACTGATTTATGGCAATTTTCGTGTTTTTGTAAATTACCGTTATATGGAAGGTGGGCGTGGTTATTACCCGATTTCAAAGATTTTCAACGGATTTCTTAGCTAGACCCTTCCCAAGCCTCGTATCGAGTTTGGTAGGGATTGGTGAAGTGGCTACTGAGATACAGCATTTCATCATAAGTGGGCGGTGCCAAACCCATTTTCCACAAATTTCATAATAATATTATTTTTTACCACAATTCTACTCCACATACTAATTTTCAACAATTTGCATCTAATATTCACTGAAATATCGCAGTTTTGCATTTTTCGAAAATACCGTTACATGATAAATGGGCGTGGTTACAGACCGATTTCGGCAATCAATACCAACCTACCTTGGATAAAGGGCATCAATCAATACATACTATATTTCATTGAGATATCTCAATTTTTGCTCGAGTTATCGTGTACACGGACAGACGGACGTCGACTTCTCTTTTCATTCTGATCATCTATGTATACATTTGTCCATATCTATCTCGATTCGTTTTGGCTGTTACAAACAACCGTTATGTAAACAAAGTTAATATACCCTTGTGCACAAGTGCGCTCGGGTATAAAAATAAATGATAAAAAACGATGAAGGTAAAAAGTGAGGGCATATCTTAGGCTCGCCCAAGCCCATCAAAGTTCAAGTGGTAAAAAAAAAAAAAATTCTAAGCTTATTTCGATTCTCTACAAAAATTGGGCATATACCAAATTATGTAGGACTAATACTTCCGAGATATTTGCAATTTTAGTAAAAAAATGTGTTAGTTAATTTATTTATTAATTTTTATTTTTTTACCACTTGAACTTTGATGGATTTGGGCGAGCCTAAGATGTTGACCAAAAATTTTCATCTTTCACACAGATTTTTTTAGAGCATAATGAACAATATTTTTGCTATTACCAATCCGAAAATCGAGTTAACTTTTTTTTT